TTTGGGTCTTTATAATAAGTCCATTTATTATAGTTTTTCATTTGTTCTTCTTCTCTTATCAATCGTTCATACCTAATCACATTCGTGGTAAATTGAAAAAGATCAGGAAATTCTCTATCCTGAAATTTCTTTTTCAAATCAAAACTCAAACAATTTTGAGCGATTTGACGAATTCTTTCTAGGGAAGAAGTACAAAATATTTGCTCTAGTTGTTTTGAACATTTGAAGAAAACCTTCTGCCCAAAGTGACTTCAGATTCAGTCTTACAAAATTGAGCGTGGAACAATTGTTCCAGTTGTTGCCATGCTTGAACAGAGTTTGCTGACAAATTAATGAATCAGGAGAAAGCTGCTCATGTTAACGAACTAGGGAACAACCTCATTTTATGATAGTCATTTACTTCACCAATTTGCAGTGTGAATCGTCTTATATGTGCCAGAGTAGACATTTCTCCTAGACTAGTGAATAATGAAAATTCTGGCACTTTGTACCCTCTAGGCCACAGATATGTCTGATCTGCCCAATCAGAATATGGTTTTGTGTAAGTTGGCCTAATAACATGACGAACCCCAAAAACCATTTGATCATGTACTATTTCCAAATTTTGATTTCTCAACATGACATTGGGATCATATAGAACTCCTACATCTTGGTTTACTGGTTGATTTATTTGAGGTCTAATAGTTGGTCCTTCGTTGGCGACAAAATTGCCATTTTTTGGGCCATTATTACAGTTAGCCTGAGTGTTTACTCCATCATTAACACGCGTGGTGTTTTGTCCATTATTTAGGACATTGTCTCTTATATTTAGGTTACCCCCCAAGTTTGACATCCCATTACCATCATTCAAGTTGGCATTCAACTATCCCCTGGTTTGAAGTAGACGGACTAGAAGGTGGTTCTATCCCTTGATTTAGGTTCAAACCTGTGGAATTATGTCCCACAATCGTCCTGGTTTGAAAGTGATTCCCTATTGGTACAATGGTTGACATATTTGGCCTACTAACTTACTCATGATCTCATTCAACATGTTTAGTTGCTTGGCCATGTTGTCATAATGTGCGTTGACATTTTGGATAAATCTTTCCATATTGTGAATATTTCGTAGATTTACCTGTTCAACGATATTCCGTGTGAGTTCCCCAAACAATGTACGCATGGTTCGAGAACTCAACTCTGTCATTGGCTCGTAGCGACTTTGACTGCTTTGACTCTGTCCCTCTATTCGTGGAGAGCTTTGCTGTTCCTCGTATCGCTCGATCACAAAATGGACTACTCCTTGACTTACTGGTTCTTTATGAGGCATAATACTTCACTTTTCCTATCCTCAAACATCAATGTCTCATTGGGCGTGCCAAATTGTTTCACGCAGATTATCACTAACAATTAAAAGAAAGGTTCAGACGATTGTGTAAAGAACAAACATCTTAAAACAAAGTCTCAAAAATGAGTGCTTTATTTATGAAAATTACAATTGAAAAGAAGCAAAACGCCTCCAAGAGACACAAGCATACGAAGTAAATTGAAAATTTGCAAATAGAAAGTAAATGAATTGAAATACCATATTCTCAGTTGAGAGTATATGATTCGATTTTTTTTCTTCTATGTCTTTTTTCCTTTTTATACTCCTNCACAGCAAGTTCGTAGGCGGTTAACGTAGTGTAGCGGGAATCGGCAACCGATTGTATCCTGGGAATCGAACACCGATCAAAAGCTCGTGCACTCCGGTGAGGCGACGAATTCGATTTAAAGAAACCGTGTAAACACGGGCCTTCGGTTTGATTTGATTTGATTTGATTTGATTCTCCAATATTTACTAACAGAAAAATATAAAAGCATTTGGGCTTGAAATTGGAACATTTGATCTCTGTAGGACGCGATTTGAAAATCTCTTAAGAGGGTTAATAGTGCTAGAAGCAAATGGTTTGTCATTCAAAATTGGATGTTAAATTCTCTACTTGAAGATGGAAAATCTGGTCCTAAAATATCATCTAATTGCAGATTATTAAGCAGACTACAATCAACCAGGGAAAACTGAATAACCTTCCTGAGATAATGCTACTTGGATGCTATATCGGGACAACAGAGAACATATTTAACCAGAATTCTTTTATGCGAGTTTTGGACTGATGATGGTGGGATGAAGATATTGGAACAATACAAGGATTTTCATTGGTTGAAGTCAGGTGAGTAGTTGTACTCTTTTTCCTTTGTCTAAGTTTTGTCCGGGCAAATTTTCTGATAATGTTTTGATGAGGTAGCTATTTGGTACTCCAAGGTTTGACAATTAATTGTATTCTTTTTCGTTCTATCTGTATTTTTTCCAATGAATTTTTGCTTGTTAACTAGACATTTATTGTGTAAATAATCATCAACGAAAAGTGTTGTAAAATATAATATAATTGTGATGACTATTTGATCTTATCAGGATAGTTATATAATCGTCACATTCTCTCATGAGGTATATACCTTACTTAATTGTAACTCTTATCCACATATATACATGTCATCATTATAATGAAACGCACACAAGAGTATTGTTTGTCTTCATTTTATTATATTTATGTTACAACTGATAAAAGTCAAATTTTTAAAAATTCTTAGAAAAATCACAAGGGTGGGACCCTTTTCCTTAGGGTTTGGCAAATCTTCAATTCTACTCATCGGCCGAATCGGGTTCAAACTATTGGTCAATAAGCTGAGCCTATGTGAGCTCGTTGACTATGAGGCCAAGCCAGGCCAAGTTGAGTGACACGAGATTAAGACCTAGGGCTTGATTATGCTCGTCAGGCTGAAAATCAAGCTTGCTTGGTCGTAGGTTCAAGCCGAGCAATCAAACCCATTCCATTGCAACCCGACTTTTTTATCTATAGGAACATGGCGGCATGTCTTCCATGTGAAAACGTATCCACCGGACCACCACCACCGTAGGGATGTCGTATGGTACAAGCAAATCTACCATCGTTAGACTAGCATGCGTCTGATGATGGAATTTTGTAGTTTTGGCCATTAAGTTAAGGAAGATTTTATTTGTACATAATTTTTGATCTAATTGTTTTACCGAATTGACAAGTGGTGGCTCCCTATTGGGGGCACCGGCATAACTCTTAAGTTAAACCAATAGGAAGATGGAAGACATGATAACAATTACTAGTTAATGGTGCACAATATAAATTAATAAATATACCTACCTACCTACCTGGGACTTGGACATATATGGTGCGTCCATCAACGAGGGAATCGGTGTGTATTTGTAATTGGTCCTCTCTTTGTTCTATCCACAGGTGGCACGCACTTTAAGAACTACATAGTGTTTAGGGATTGAATCTCATATCGAATAAAGATATAAACATAGACCAATTTATAAATGTTTGGGTTACTCCTCTTAATAAGGTTGACATTTAGATGGAATCTCAAATCTTAACATGGTATCAGAACCCATTAAACTCTAACGAGCAATTCGATCCGACTAAAACTCCAAAAAGTGAGTATACGGATTTCAAAATTGGTCTGCTCAAAACGAGCCACCATCTTGTGGGGGCATGTTAAGGGATAGAATCTCACATCAAATAAAAAATTAAAAATGTAAATATAGACCAATTTATAAAGGTTTGTGTTACTCCTCTTAATAAAGTTGAGCTTTTAAGAAGAAATCCAAAATCTTAACACATAGTCAATTTCATCCGCTCTCGATATAAATTTATGCTCACGCTTTCTAGTCCTACATTTTATTTAAAAAAATGATTTTTTGAGAGATATATGATTGAAAAGTGATTTTTTTTTAAAATTTTTATTTATCTGTAAAATGATTTTATTAGGATAATAAGTAGTTGAAGATTAAATGGAGAAAATGATTTTTAAAGAATTTGGCTCAAACAGGTAAAATTAGTTTCTCGGCTTAAAAATTATTTTTAATCAAGCTTTTTATTAGTTAGCATATGTAAAATTAAGAGTGTTTCTGAACCACAATATTTTGGAAGAATGTATTTTGGAATAGTAGATTGATGGAATGTGTGGTTGAAAAAGAAAGAAAATTATTGATGTGATAGAAAATATTATTTTATTGAAAAATGTGTGGTTGAAAATGAGTAGAAGAATGATAATGAAAATTTTAATGTGGCTCAAACAGGAGCTAACACATAAAATTAGTATGTGGCAAACGATTTAACTTGTGTAGAATCTCCTCGGCTACTATCTTGATACTTGATTGAGTTGATCCACTTGTTAGAGATAATTATTGGTCAATACTCTCTCTATCATAGTATGTGACCATAGGAATTAATATTTATTGAACGAGGTTCAAACTTGGACACTACCTAACATTTTGATTAATTTTGTTTTGAACAATGTCAAGCATCACTTAAGTTCAACTCGACCCTTAAGAAGGATAATATTCAAATGAGGTAGAATGCTACTTGTACCCAACTTGGCCTTTAAGATGAATTATGCTCGAAAAAGATCAAGGCTATGTTGAGCTCAACCTAGTACAATGTTTTGACTGCGATTGAGTACAATTCAACCTTAGTGTGTCGAGTTGAGCCCAAGTGACTCTTGACCTCTTTCAAGCATAATGCCGTCTAAATTACTCGTTCAAGCATAAACAATCCTGAATTTCAAGTCGAGCTCAAATAAATATCAGACTCGTTCGAACATTATTCACCATTTACATCGAGTTAAAACCTGCTCCACTCCACCTATGTGGAACTTAACCCACAACAATGATCCGACCTAAATCATTTTAAACATCTACAATGTCCTCCAACCTACCTTCATTACTTGTTGGAGGAAACTTAATCCTATATACTTGTTGAACTTTAAATAATGATCAATAATTTTCTCATCTAGTTAGAGTTTTCTCCACCTAAACTTGCTATTCTGCTATTCAACGAGGAGCGAGAAGAGAGATAACTATTTGAGAGAAAACTATTCAAATTCAGCATAGTATTCTTCATTCCAAGTATACCATTTATAAATTTCTATTCATACCTATATAGATTTCTATTCATACCTTGAGGTAAATTGGTCTTTTCAGTTGGTGACATTGGCAATCATTGATTGACTGACTTCTAATTAAATATGTTATCTGCTCACGTTTTACTTACCAACTTAACGTTTTTGTTCAAATATATTGACCCGCACTATATATTTAAGGTCGCTTACGAGGTTTCTTCCTTACAAGTGCTTTTAACTCATTTTGAGTTCTCATATGCTTTTGACTTCTTCAAAGTGTTCGCTCAGATGCTCTGGTAAAAATATTCTTTTACTTTTCAAAAATACTGTCAAATGGTCCTCCGTTACCAACTAGACGAGTACCAATCCAACCAGATGAGTGCTAAGCGCCAACTAAGCTACCGATCATATTCCCATCTAACCACGTCATAATATCTTCTAGCGGATAAAACGGCTTTCAATCCCTTTCCATTTCCCAATACACCGCAAGAAACAGTCCACAATACGTAACGTGCACGTCACATATGCACCCCCTCTCCCCCTATAAAGCATAAATGGATACCAGATTTATCATCGGCAATTTCATTTGTTATACAAATTTAACATTCTACAGAGAATTTTAGAGAGAGAAGGAGATGGAGAAAGCAATTGAGAGGCAAAGGGTTCTGTTGCACCACATTAGCCCTTCATTCACTTCTTCTTCACTTGAAAATATTGATTCTTCTATCTCTGTGAGTTTTTTTAATTTGTTGAATTTAGTTATAATTAATCTCTTTTAATCACAAAGTTTCGGTCGCTTTATCGTAATTTGATTGAGTTTAGAGCTCTGAGTACTTGTTTATGAATTTTGTGTTTTGAAAATTGCTGCGATTTACTATCTCTTTTTTTATGTAATTGTAGTTTAAATTTTTTTGTTGATTATCTGTCTAATTTTACTTGGAACTATTAGCATTGATTTATTGTTCTAAAAATTAATTTATAAGAGCGCATGTTTGAAAATATGAAATCCGGTACATATTCATAATTTGAGGTTCTACGCATACATTTACCATGGTTGATGGTTAAGGTATGTTAAGTGATAAGATTTTTAATCTTATATTTCAATCAGGCATCTTTATGTTCAGCCGGGGACAGTGCAGCGTACCACAGGACTTCTGTGTTTGGCGATGATGTGGTGATAGTGGCGTAAGTTACTTATATTCGAAGTTGTGTTTCAAATTAAAATTCAATTAAAATTGAAAATATAGTCGTTATTGGTCTCATTCGTCTAATAAAAGTCAACAATAACGGCTAGTTTTTCAATTTTAATCCGATTTTAATCAGTACCGAACGCTCCCTAATTTAGATGTATGTTTCTTAACTACTTTTCTGCTTATAATTTGGCATAGTGCCTATCGAACTGCACTTTGCAAGTCAAAGAGGGGTGGCTTTAAAGATACATATCCTGATGATTTACTTGCACCAGTTTTAAGGGTTTGTTTCTTTTCCCCATTGCATATATGTTGATGTCAGTTCTACTGAATGTCAAAGTTGAGAATTATACATCCAATATGTGATTTTTGTAATGATGAACTGGTGCAGACTTTGATTGAAAAAACGAATGTGAATCCAAGTGAAGTTGGCGATATTGTTGTGGGCACAGTACTGGCGCCAGGCTCCCAGAGAGCAAGTGAATGCAGGATGGCTGCATTTTACGCCGGTTTTCCTGGTAATCATCTGTGCATTGTATGCTTTTAACTTTGTTGTTCTGCAACAAAAGTGCCAGTGAACAATATCCATTTTACCCAATGCAGAAACTGTACCAGTTAGAACTGTGAATAGGCAATGTTCGTCTGGTCTTCAAGCCGTAGCTGATGTCGCTGCAGCCATCAAAGCTGGATTTTATGATATTGGTATTTGGATATTTTCTCGTAAACTGGTATACAGAATGCTTTATTTATTGTCTAGCTAAACTTCCAACTGTCTGAACTAGGGATTGGTGCTGGGCTTGAATCTATGACTGCCAATCCTATGGCTTGGGAAGGAGATGTCAATCCAAGAGTATATTTCATTACTTTCATACATTATAATTTACACAAATTTTACTTGGCAGAGTTCCATAACCGTATTTTTTATGTTTGACATCTTATAAACTTCAGGTAAAATCAATGGAACAAGCGCAAAATTGTCTTCTTCCAATGGGTGTTACTTCAGAAAATGTTGCCCACCGCTTCGGTGTGACAAGGCAGGAGCAAGACCAGGCCGCAGTAAGTTGAATAGATCTGTCAAATTGATGGTTGCTTCAAGTTATCTATGTCCTTAATGACTTTTTAACCATCTTCTCAGGTGGAATCACATAGAAAGGCTGCTGCTGCAACTGCATCTGGGAAATTTAAGGAGGAGATAGTACCGGTGAAAACTAAGGTAATGACTTCCTAAAGAAATTCTTAAAACTGTTCTCGTATTGTGTTTTTTTTACCTTTCTAGTATTCCTTCGAACTTCTCTTTGGCTCTAATTTACATTTCATTGAAAAAGATTGTTGACCCAAAAACTGGAGATGAGAAACCTGTTACAATATCTGTTGACGATGGGATAAGGCCAAACACCACAGTTGCTGACCTGGCAAAGCTAAAGCCTGTATTCAAGAAAGGTGGTACAACCACAGCAGGTAAAACAAGATTCTGTATTGGAGGTGTATTAAAAAAACTGTGGATTTCAAATACTAACTTTTCTAGACTCTATGTTCAGGAAATTCTAGCCAAGTCAGTGATGGAGCTGGAGCTGTGCTTCTCATGAAGAGAAGTGTTGCAATGCAGAAAGGACTTCCAATCCTTGGTGTATTCAGGTGCATAAATTTGCAATCAGAGTATTTAGTTGCATAATTTTGATTCTCAGTATTAAATACTTAAAACCAGTTTTGTTTAACCGTGTCTCCATTGGGTTCCAAAAGACCAAGCCCTGCCCTGAAATGCACAAGTTCTCGCTTCCTTAGTTAATTGTATCACACGGTACCGTTCTGGTTTCTTAATTGATAAATAAATACATATTTTTACAGTTGGTGTAAAATAATAACTGTAGATAAGAAACATGACTCTTCCTCTTCAAAATGACAAAAGGTTCGGTTGCCTCTCTTACAGGAGCTTTGCTGCTGTTGGTGTTGATCCAGCAATCATGGGTGTTGGTCCAGCAGTTGCAATTCCTGCTGCAGTCAAATCTGCTGGTCTTGAACTTGATGATATTGATCTTTTTGAGATAAATGAGGTATTTTTATCCCAAAAATTTAGCAATACCTTTCTTGGTACAGTGTTAACAGTTCTTGATCGTCATGTATGATGTCTTCCTGCAGGCATTTGCATCGCAATTTGTACATTGCCGGAAGAAACTGGAACTTGATCCTGAGAAGATCAATGTTAATGGAGGTGCAATGGCTATTGGGCATCCTTTGGGTGCAACAGGTATTAGAAGTATTTTCAGATAAACATCACTTAAAATCGGCTCTGTTGGAAATTTATATCGATTTGGCTGGGACTTAATTACAGCATATAAGTCTTACCCAAAAATCAAATTGTTTACTCTTTTTCTTTATTTTTCTTTTTTGGTTCCGTATCAAGACAATCTTTTAATATGATGCTCTCCTTGGTTAAAATATAGCTTATAGAACCCACTTGATGAGCATAGTTTGTATTGAAAATTTACAGGAGCTTTGATAGTATTTAGATTAAACGTTGACTGTGTTCTTCCACGTACAATAGCAAATAGTGTTCAGTTGTACGGGGAATTTAAGACGTGTTCCATGACTTGTGAATGTGACAATTAGATGCCTATGTAAACAGGAGCCCGCTGTGTTGCTACCTTGTTGCATGAGATGAAGCGCCGTGGCAAAGATTGTCGCTTTGGTGTCATTTCAATGTGTATAGGTGAGTATTGCCGTCCATAACTCTTGAGAGCGTATGCATGCCCACACAGAATGGTGGGTCCGACAACTTTTACCAAGGATTTGTGACTAAATATTGATGGTTTAACTGTAGGAACGGGAATGGGAGCTGCTGCTGTTTTCGAAAGAGGTGACTCCTGTGATGACCTCTGCAATGCTCGAAAGATTGAAACTCATAATTTCCTGTCAAAGGATTCTCGATAATCACCTTATCGCCTATGTGGGTTTTCAATATAGTTATGGTTCCAAAAAGAAGCCAACTATATAGCCTGAAATATTGAATCAGCTTGTACTTTTACCATTTTAAGCCAAATAATTTATGGGTTTTGTTGAACAATATCAGTTTTTGCAGCTAAGATGTTAAGTTCTCTCGATTCATATTTCATGACATCTTTCTCTTTGTTATTTTCACTTCGTCTTTTGTGTTTCCGGGAGATTGCATTTTTGGTTAGTTGAATTTTTAAGATACTATACAGCCGACCGTGTTTGCCTTTCTTTAGAAAAATATGGAGGACTATGCCCCGCCCCGCCCCCAAAACACACCCGAGACCCGTAGCACCTTCTTAAAGTAGGTTGTATCTTATCATGTCCGTGAGTTCTTCAAGGTTGATCTTTCATTACATTGATGATTGGGTAACAATGTCACGTGGTTGCATTGATTTGTCTATCTTCCTCAACTTGAAGAACCCTAGACAACTCAGAAGAATAAACTTGCTCATTTTCCAAATGCCGAAATTAGCATTAGGTTAGATTTAGTATAGGCTAATTTTGGAATTTTCCAAGAATAAAAGGATTAGAAGTCGTTTATACGAAGAAAAAAAATGTTAATAACTCAAATAATTTGACAACTTGGACTTTTGATGTTTGTAATTGTCGTATTGAAAGTTTTGTTCAATATAATGGTAGGGTCATAAGTTTTATAAGACGAATGTAATACAACAATTAAAAGTACACAAAATTTAGGGGTTATCTAGGGCTGATTCCCCAATTGATTAATGGACCGTTACTATCCCCAAGTAGGCCCCACCTGTGAGAGAAGGTGGTAAAAAAAATGGCTGAGTGGCTTTTCAATGATTGGAAAATTGATTTTTTGGGCTCAAAAATCACCACCCGACGTATGCTTAACTAATTTTGAACCATTAAAATTAAGGGATTAATTTAAAATTTCATTGGAATTCGATATACTCGGAGAGAAATTTTAAAAATAGTTAATTGAAGAGAATCTTCTATGGTGTGCCACATGAGTTTAAAAAAGAACCGTGTGACCAACAATTTCTAGTATCCTTCTTCGTTCAATCCATCATCCAATATTCAAATTAGAATCTTCCAATCCATTTAAGTCTAATTCCAATCTTATTTTCTAAACAAATATTAAATTATTCATAAATCAACCCAATGCTTCTCTACACTATTCAAATATAACGGCAAGCGTCAACAGGAGGCACGATCCTCTGCAACAAGTCTACAAATGTCTGTTAAGAATTGTTGTACTTCTGACTTCAACCCCAAGAATTTGACTCTCAAATACAACATTTTCGCCTTCTTTTATAATTTTATTTATTTCTTATATTTTGAAAATTTTAATATTTGAAATCTCAGTTTATGTATTTGGATTTTTTTATTTATTTTTTATTTTTTAAAATCATGGTTGGCTTCACTAAAATTCATTTACCCTTTTTGCAATTAAAATTTCAATTTATGAAAAACTTTTTCAGTGAACTATTAAGCTCCCAGTTGGCCTCTATTAGAATTATAATCCATTTTTCTCTCTATTTTTATCAATCACACATTCATATTATACGTAAACTCAATTTCTTTTTTTCTTTTTGAACCATACATTTTTCAAAAAACACTCTTCCAAAAAATATAAACTCAAATAATGGCAAATAATGAGGGTCGAACGGGGCTAAGTCAAATACTATATAGTGATTGTTTAAAAAAATGTGTGATTATGTAAAATATGCAAATATATAGAGAGACGTGAAAAATAATTTTTTTAAAGTTTGCGGTTTAAAATGAGTATAGGAAAAAAAGTAATTTTCGAATAATCTCAAACAAATGCTAAATATAGACCCTCAACTTCAAGATAATTTGTTTGTTACCGATTAAAATTTAGATTTTAATTTAAGTCATGACCAATAATTAATTTTAATCACATATTTAATGGGTTTAATAACTTTTCAACCACACATTTCATCAATTTCTATTAAAATCCACTGAAATATTGATTTTAATCAACACCAAACAGGTTTTATAATTTTTTATACCGCTATATAATTACAATCCATTTCTGCTTAATGGATACAAAACACAGGTGCTCTAGCATTTGGCAAACGACTCATGGTGCATCAACAAGAACCAATATTGATAATCTTTCAATCCAAATATTTTTTTTATTGAGATTTTTATTTACTGAGTATATCGCCCTTGTTAAATAATTTATGATAAGGAGTACTTGATTAAAAAAATTTCTAAGGGAACTATGCATGAACGAAGAATCGTTTTATTAATAGCAAGGGTTGGGAACAAAGTCAATAAATATACACAAACAAACATTTGAATAAAGCAAACACTTGACGAACAAAATCTTGACCTTGTGTGGAAGTGATTTTTGAAAACTATATTTCCTCACACTTATTTTAAAGTTTTGACTTTTTACATTTTCTCACAATTTTTTACTATTTTTTAATTACACATTCTTAACAAAAATAACTCACGCATAAGCACTAATCTCATGCAAATATTAGTGTGGCTTGCAACTAAATCCCTATTTGATGGGGCTAATTTGAAAAAAAAATCACTTTTCGATTGTTGTGACGGTTCCATTAGGCAAGAAAATATGATGCTCTAGTGACAAAAAGTGACATATCTTTGCGACAATAAGTCAAGGAAATATCGAAAATGTTCATTGCAAAACATTTTGGGAAAATCAGAAGCACGAGCATATTTCCATCTTTTGCACATGTGCATTAAGGGGGTGGACAAGTTTTTAAGGCAATAGTGAACCAGTTTGAGCGGTTCTTAACCAGTTAATTTGCAGTTGGACAAGTTATTGCCAATCGGACCGGATCATTGTTCTGTTCACCGGTTCCCTAGCTGAATCGATAGATTCGACCCAATTTTAGGGTCCGTTTGAGCCCCGTTCTTTT